CTTTTAAAAGGATTACTCTGATTTTATTTTAAAAAGCATAAACGAAATCGGTCTTTTCTGGCCGAGAAACTAGGGGATGTCACACGACGTACCAAGTTTTTCGTTCCAAAACAAAAGTGTTAGAAAGGGTATTTTAGTGATTTTGAATGTCATATGTCATAAGTGGCGTTTCCTTGAAACTCATGTGGAAAAAGGTAATCTTTGAAATTTTTTCAAAAAACACCAATTAGCCTATTTTGAAACTTCAAAATTATTATTTTAATTTCCGATATCCAAATTTGAAGTGTGATATGTGTATGGATAGCCCTTGTTATAAAGAAGACATAAGAAAAATTTTCAAGTGATTTAGAATTAAAGTGGAGAAGTTGTGGTCACTTGAAAATGGTATATAGCATAATTGCTGTGAGAAAAGTTTATAGAGCCCTTACGTTAATGACCTTGTAACTACATATCTAGACCTTGTTTGCATTAGATTTCTTAATGAAATTTTTTATTCATATGAAAAGGAATCCACACATAAAAAACATTCAAATCCAAGTTATTGAACGTAAATCTATGCACGAGCCTATGCAAACTGGGTTAAAAGCGGTAGATAGCCTGGTTCCTATAGGCTGTGGTCAACGAGAAATTATAATCAGGGGCCGACAAACTAGAAACACTACTACAAAAATACCCTTTTACGACCCACAATGTGTGTCGTAAAATGCTCAGACGATAAGCAAATGTGTGTCAAGGAAGGCCCTGTCATAACGAAAGACGACACGCTTTTGCGCATCGTCTATTTACAACACGCATTTACGACGCGCATTTATGACACACATTTACGATGTTCCTTTATGACACGCAATGCGTATCAAGGAAGCCCCTGTCATAAAGGAAGACGACATGCACGTGCGTGTCGTAACCTTATGACGTGCGTTTATGACACGCAATGTGTATCAAGGAAGGCCCTTTCATAAACAAAGACGACACGCCCTTGCGTTTCGTAACCTTACGACACCCGTTTATGACTCCCAATGTGTATCATTAAATCCACTATCATAAATGAAGATGACACACATTTGTGTCTCATAAACATCAGCTGCGAGTGATGATACACATTTACAGCGTGCATTTACGATACGCATTTCCAACGTGAATATACATAATACAAAAAAATATATATACCAAAACATTCAATTTCATCTAATTGTCAAACAAGTTACCTAACATTACATGTCATGTTACCTACCATTACATGTCAAACAACACTACATGTCAAACGAGGATGCTAAGTAACATTTCACAAAGTTAACAAAAAACATGTACACCACATGTCAAAAGACCATACCTAACATTTCACTGTTATCGAAAATATTGTTTTGCGGATACAAAATATCACCGGTAAATGAAGCATGTAACAAACTCCGACCATTCTTCACGTATTTCATTGATATAATCATATGTGTACTCAACTTTGCCACCCCCGACCTGAGAAAATTTTTGCATATTGTTTCTATTATAAAAGAATTGCATACTAACATATTCTTTAACAGTAAGTTGCTATATTTAACAAATAAACATAAAATGTAAATTCTTCTTTCTTAATAAAACATTGTACTTTCAAATGAATGAAAGCACATTGTTATTTTTGCATGTAAACTAATATTTCAAGTATAATTGTGAGAGTAGGATACAATAAAATGATCCTTTTTCAATTCCTTTCCTATTAAATAAATTATAGCAGTGAAAGTAGAATGCTATATTGCTATATCCTTACATTATCTTTGACCAACATATTCTTTAACAATGAGTTGCTATATTTAATAAATAAACATAAAATGTAAATTCTTCTTTCTTAGTACACCATTGTACTTTCAAATGAATGAAATCACATTGTTACTTTTGCTTGTAACCTAATATTTCAATTATAATTGTGAGAGTAGGATGCCATAAAATGATCCTTTTTCAATTCATTTCCTATTAAATTAATATAGTAGTGAAAGTAGAATACTATATCCTTACATTGTCTATGACCAACACTTCTTTAACAATGAGTTTCTATATTTAACAAATAAACATAAAATGTAAATTCTTATTTCTTAATACACCATTGTAGTTTCAAATGAAGGAAAGCACATTGTTATTTTTTCATGTAACCTAATATTTCAATTATAGTTATAAGAGTAGGATGCCATAAAATGATCCTTTTTCAATTCCTTTCCTATTAAATTATTATAGTAGTGAAAGTATAATGCTATATCCTTACATTGTCTTTGACCAACACTTCAATTCCTTCCTCAACTATCTCCTTCATGAACTTTAACATGTAGCAGCTACATTCGGTAGATCCGCGCTGAACTGGACACTACACAATTACATATAAATGATCATTGCAATTGATCCAAAAAAATAAAGTTAAAGTTGCAATTTCAATAAGGAATTAAGTGTTGACCGTAACATTGACCCAATTAAGTTTAACCCTCTTGTTGGATCCACTTTGTGTAGCGTACATAACCATATCCCTATAAAAAAAACAATAACAAACAGGTATTTATTGTATTCACATCAAATGTTTTGATAATTTATATTACTTACGAATCAACAATTTGCTTCAACTGCGTATTGAAATTGCTAGAACTCAAGGAATCAAGATAACAGAAAGTATCCGATTTCATGTCTAGTACACCCAACACCCAATGTCTTCTACAAAAACCACAAAAGAAATTAAGTCAAATAACATAATTGCAGTCATTTTCAAAATAAAATGGAAAAATCAAGCTCGGGATTATAGGGAAATAGGATGATGTCATTTCCCTTTCTAGTAGACAACCGATCTGCAACACCTCTACTTGCATCATCAATATTCTTAGATTTCCCTTTACGCATACGTGGCGAGATTACAGCCGGGTTCACAAAGCAAATTCCATGATCTCTTTCTGGCGGGCCATTCTTGATTTTGTTAAACAACACCCTGTTATCATGCAAACACTAAATTGATTAAACAAATTTTGGATCCATAACAGTTATTTAAATTAAATTTCTTGCACTTACATCATATAAGACACAATGACAGCACCGGTCAGCTCATCCAGTGTAAGAAGTGCTTCAAAATCATCCCAATTTAAGTACGTGTAACTATCGTACCCAAAAAGATCGTTCTCACTCTGCACTTTTATAGAATCAACCTTTGTAACTTGTGCATCAGCCATCATTGCAGTCATTTTCAAGATACCACTCTTATCAATTCTTATCCTTGTCGTCATCTGTGCTCTGGTCGACCTTCTTTGCATGATCACATTTTGTTTCTCCATTTCTTTTTCCTTCTTTTTACTCTTCTTTTCTGTTCCATTCTCTTCTTCCTTATCAACCATTTTTCCTGTCCCCTTTTCTTTCTTATTACTTCCTATTTCTTCTTTTAAAGGTGTTGCATATTTTTTCACTGGTGTTGCATCTTTTTTCATTGGTGTTGCATGTTTTTTCACAGGTTTCGCCACCACTTTTCCCTACAAAAATTATTAAAAAAACATAATGAAATTCGAAACATAAGTTGCAACAAAATCTGAAACAGGAAACATAATGAACAAATTTTTCACGGGTTTTTTTTTTCACTGGGAAGCAGGAAACATAATCTGAAACAAGAAATAGGAATGGAATCCGAAACAAGAATCAAAATGGGATCCGAAACAAGATTCAGTTATTTGACTTTTTTCAATAAACAATGTGTAACATGAAACACATTCTTGTTTTTTTGCACTGAGAAAATCCTTGTCCCAACTATTTTGTGCACTTGTGAAAACAGGAACCTCATGATACATGGCTGGATAAACACCTTTAACAAATATCAACAAAGTTTAGCTTTAACTAAATGGTCAAGGTGTATTACCAGGTCAGAGCATCGAATAACTAAGTGTCTTGGCCAACTTAGTATGTGTCCAAGTGCATCTTTTACCTTCGCAATGAACTCCTCTTCAAGTGGAATGGGTAGTAAAGCTTCTCCTTGTATAATTGTTTCCATCATAACTTTAATGTTTTCATCTATTACATAAATGTAAAAAATAATTAAGATCCAATTTTCTAAAAAATGAAAATATATAAATAGTAATAATGTAAATATTTTTCATAATACCCGAGGCACTATACTTCATTATGGTTCCTTTAGCGACTACATTTGCGGCAAAGTCAACCGCAAGAAGACATGAATTATCCTACCAAAATATAGTATGTTAGTTTGTAGAAAAAGAAAATACTTTAAAAATATTTTTCATAAGTGGACTTACAAGTGATTCTTCCGGTGGTTCTTTTTCAACATCTTCAAAGACGCCCCCTACTTGGCAACTTGCAGTTTCAAAAACATTCATTACACCTCTTTTTAGTTTCTCCAAGTCATCTTCAAGTTTGTTGATTCATTTATCCACCCCCTCGTTCTCAATCTCCAAGTAATGCTTAACATTCTTGGGTAAATAAAAGTATTGTTGTGGAGACCAAAATACACAAACAGATTGAGTGGGTAGGTAAGTGGCATTATGGTCATTTTGGTATTGATACTTGTGTTCTTGCAAATTTATTTGCAATGTTTTGACCTCTCGTCTATATATAATATATATTGGGTTGGAAAGTGTAAGAATTAAGAAGCCTGTTGTAAGTAATCCATTTATGATTTTGAGGTTGTTCTGGTATTCCAGGTTATACTTGATTTTGGTAGAAAAAGCATAAAATCATAATCAAAAGGCGAGTCCAATGATTCTAGGAGGCCATCTTGGGAAGGAAATAGAAAAGTGCCAAGAAATGATGACATCAGCAGAGACAACAAACATAGGACTTTACATGATGAATAGGGAAAACAACATACCACATACATGTTTTTCTTTCTCTTTTTCATATCATTCATCTTTATAAGTATTGTATGTCTGTTTTGATGAAGGGCATTTATGTCTTTTGCACACATGACCTTGTTCATGGTGAGTGTATCTGCAGGGATCGAAGCAGGAGTCCAATTCATAGTAGGAGTAGGAGTCGAGGGAGAGAATGGGAAAGTAGGAGGAACCCATTTTATGATGATACTAATAGACACAAATCTAATGACTATGGAGATGATGTAAGAAACTATTCAAGAGGTGATAAAATAAAAGAAAGTTGGAGGCGTAGATCAGATCATCATTATTCCTTAAGTCCCATACATGTGGTACATATACAAAGGTTTAGCACTAAGAGGCTGTTTCTTTTTACTGAGTTTTATAAGTTAAGCATTTAATCTAGATAGTTATATATGACTTAACAGGTCAAGCCAAAAAACATATCTTAACATATCAAGACACCAACCATTTACCAAATTGTTCTTATTTTATCAGTCCAACTCCTTTCATGTCGACGATATTGTGAAAACGGTTTGATGAAATGTAATAGTAAAAATGAAAAATTATTATTTACTCTCATTATTTATTCAAACTAGAAAAGAAAGAAACAGAGCACAACATTTAACCCAAACATATATCATTATACCTTCTATCACTTCACCCATTTAGCCACTTAGCCCAATCCAATATAACAATCACAATCTAAAAGTTGATTTCACATTTTAAAACAAGATGTTTTAATTTGGAGGCCTAACCCTTGATCAAAAAAATATACATAGGTAGCTTGATTGCCATTTACAATCCAATCAACTACCTAACAAAACATGATTCCAATATCATACAATTCCATTAATGAGCCAAAAGCTGAAACATGACATACCCAAAAATAAAATAAAATAAAAACAACGAGGAACTAGGAACCTTTTCTACTACGACTACTGGAACCAGAAACAGATCTCACATTATTTGATTCAAAGGGAACTAGGAGCAGATTCCCTCACCATAAAGATGATAGAAATCATCATCATAATGATGAATCAAATTGAGTTACTAAAATCCCATGCAAGTTTTTTGTTGTGGGTAAATGCTATCGTGATAAAGATGATAGAAATCATCATCATGGAATGGTCCTTCATGGGATGATGATCATGAAAAAACAAAGTCATGGAATGGTCCATTGTGGGATGATCTAGGATTAAACAAAAAAGGTTGTGAGAAAAATGATTACTTTTCGCCTAAACAACATAATATGACCAATGATTCTCATATAAACAATGAGAATATAGTTTCTAAAGAAGAATCCAACCAACAAATTCTTACATCTGGATAAGGACCAGTTGAAAATGGGAAGAGTCCAAAAAAGAAAACAGGAAGTAATTGGAAATCTAACTGAAAATGCTCATCAAGAATAAGAAAATATCAACACTGAAAGAGTCGAAAAGGGTAGTATTGGAAATGATGAAAAGTCTACACAACAATGTAGGGAAATAGATCCAAATCAGAGTAGGAGTAGAGATGATGATGGAGAGAAATCCAGTGGATATGGTAATGATGTAAGAAGTAATTCTGGAGGTGATAATTTGAAAAAAGAAAATTGGAGTCATAGACAAGATTACTCAAGATCCAACAGCCATAATAGAAATTCAAGGAATCATTATGATGATGGTTATGATGATGTTCAAGATGACAGGTGTCATCAATCAAATCGAGTTACTAAAATCCAATGCAAGTTTTTTGCTGCGGGTAATTGCAAGCGTGGTGATTGTAAGTTTTGTCATGATGTTTTAAATGCACGGAATTATGATCGTAGGTCACATGACAACCCTCGGGCCCACAAGAAGATGACATGGCATGATGATGACTTAAAAGCATCAAATTTGTCTGAAAATAACAAGTCATCATGGATGTGGCGATTCTTTATTATTTTATAATCAGATGTTTCTTTGTGGTGGTGGGGGCTGTTTATTTTTTTGACTTAATGGGCTTAATAGTTTAAGCACTTGATCTGGACATAATGATGTTAGAGGTTGACCCGAAAAAAACATGGCTTGATGCTTTTTTTTTTAATCCAACCTAATGTTAAAATTGTTGAATATTGTGATTTTTTTGGAATGCAAGGGTAAATTGGTCATTTTGCGTATATGGTACATTATACATACTGACATTATTAGTCAATTTGAGCAATCTCCAATGATGTCAGGTGAGCCCAAGGTCGTCAGCGAGGCGAAGTCAGCCTGAGGAGATGTAACCTAACGTCGTCGGATGAGATGTTGTCTGCAAGGCGAGGAAATGCGAGGTCACAGAGTCGATTGATTGTAGAGAGTGTAGTGACTGATCAGTGTATTTTTGTTTGAAAAGCCCTAGGATATTTTAGTAGTACCTCGATTTTTGTAACAAGAGATGTGCGCGTTTCATTAAAATTATAAGGCAACAGTTATAGAGGACGCACGTTAAGCTAAAGCGCCCTCCGTGTTTTTAATTTTTTTCTTGAGACACTGATTTAAGGGCACACGATAATGCATGACCTAAATCCTTAAATTTTTTGAAGAGGTGACACTATTTTAAGGTCACTCTCTTTTGCGTAATATAAATCAATCCGTGTCGTGGTTTGCGTGTCGTAAAAGGATGTTTTTGTAGTAGTGAAAAACAACTGTTGCTATCGATACCATATTAAACCAAAAGCAAATGAAGTGAAGGAGCATCTCCTAAAGTGAGACATTGTATTGTGTCTATGTAGCGATTGGACGTTCAACTATGGCACAATTAGTTCAAATTCTTTCAGAAGCGAATGCTATGAGATATTTCATTGTTGTTGCAAAGTTGGTATTAAAACAATGAGATTTTCATAGTACATCAAGATTCCCGCAGGTTATGGCCCAGAAAATCAAAGCTAAAAAACTCCATATTGGCTAATTTTTGGTTAAGTAATGGAAAGTGATTTATGAGAATAGTATTTGTCTTTTTTCTCTAAAAGCCGAATGATTAGGAGAGATATCATTCACAACCTACATTCTGAAATTTTTTGGAACTAACTACGAAATCCTTTTGCCCAAGCTATTCACTTTAATGGATGAAGCCCACGGACTACATCAATGGACTGGCTGGTCATGACTGTTCTTAATTAATTAATCGTTTTTAGATTAATTAAAAGGATGCTACTTACAATGGATAGTTGCGTATCGACCGGCAGAATATTTGCTATTAGGTTAAAGGCTTAAAGCTAATTAAGCCAATTACTTTTGCTATAAACTTGTAGGTGATCCTAATGAACTTGATTGGTCAAAGAACCGATGCAAACAATTATACAGATCTACGGATAAGAGAATGAAAGTTACGTTTGTAAGATGAGTTGGCCAATGTTCAAATCCATTAAATTCTGGGCTCTACCTCCCAAAACAAAGGTATGGGAAGATTAAATTGCCTTACATAATTAGGAAACTGTGCCTACAGCCTATGCGATTGACAGATTTTTATAGAATTCCACATTTTGTCAACCTATAGGTAGATGAGGTTTACCCTAGCTAGCTAGCTAGGAGCCTTTCTTTCCTAATCTTCTACCCATTATTATCGAAAAACGAGTACTTAGGAAGGACACATCCGTATTAATTTCCAGCTGTTCATTAGTTTCACCAAGAAACGGACAAATCTTTTTGGCATGATTGCCTCACATTTGTTGATTCGAATGGATCTCTAACTTTTTTACCTTTTAATTGCTGATGCAAGTGTTGATATCTTTAACCTGGATTTATGATGTTGTACGTTGCACAAAAGGATTTTTTTATCTTCTCGATCAGCACAATCTCAAAGATCTGATTGGAAAGCTGTACTAGATTTTGCTTAGGTAGAATGATTTCCAAGGATTTCTTTATCCTATATGCATCATGGGCAATCCTGCTGTGTTGACATGTACATTGCATAAAATTTTTCCTTGTACTTGGATAACGAAAGATTGTTGTATCATGTGGTCCTATCAAACATTTATGTCATGAATCTCCTAACACCCATGGGAGCCAGCTGTTTGCAAATGGGTTTTATGTATTTTCAGTATATATGTCTAGATCTGAAATATTACAACTTGTCATATTTCACCATATCTGATAAGAATAATCAAGTGGGCATGTGAATTCTTCTTTTTCACTTTCCTTTCTTTGTTCTTTAACTGCATGTTACTTGTTAACATATCGGATCCCATGTTACTTCCTAACGTTATTCAATAATTCAAAACGAGCTCATTCATCTATGCCTTTCTCCCCGCTCAAAGCGTGAGCGTAATGTGCTTTTTTTTGGGATACTACAATAGTTAGAGGGGCAGAAATGAAAGTTTTAAAGCTTAATTCTTTTGTTACTCCAAATATTTGTACTAGTGGTACATGCAATAACTGGTACCTATTTTCTTGATGTTTTGCATGCAATTCTGATTTAGTTCACATGGTTGTGGACCTTAGGAGGCCAGAATTGTCTTGAGCTTAATCGTTATGTTGTCAGAGATAAGAGAATGCATGGAA